TTGTAGTTCCACAACAGCTGAAGGACGGAGTTACCCACCTCTGGCCAAAGGGGTTTATTTATATTCAAATTTACCACTTTCTTTTCCTATAAACATCCCACCACCCAAAAAACACACTCTAAAGGGTATATCTATAATCAAATGCACAAATGAGGGGGGGAACAGAACTACAAAGAATGCAAAATTAAATAATCTAAACTTTCCTATATGCACGCCCCAAAAAACCCCACACACACTCTAAAGCATGGGGTAGGCAAACCCCAGCTCTCCAGCTGTGGTGAGACTACAAATCCTATAATGCCTCTGTCTCTGGGAGTAATGCCTGTGGCTGTCAGAGACTTGAAATGCCTCGTGGGACTTGTAGTTGCACCACCGCTGGAGGGCCAGAGGTTGCAAAAGGCCAGGGGTGGGCGACTCCAGCTTTCCAGATGTGCTTTAACTACAAATCCCACATGCTTCTGCCTCTGGGAGTAAGAATCTTGCAATGCCTCATGGGATTTGTAGTAGTACCAACTAGTGCAGTGGCGGACCTAAGGAACAAAGGGTCCTGGTGCAAGATTTTCTTTTGCCCCCCTCCCCCCCAAAAAAACAACACAAACTCCACAATCCACATCCCCTGAAGCAACCACACAAAAATTAAGTTGAAAAAATTGAAAAAAATAGATCGAAACAAATGAAATAATGATTTATTACAGAGAAAGGACAGAGTATGTTTACTATAACTACAATTATGAATGAATGGAGGTGATGTAGATAACTTCCCATTCATTCATAATTGAGGATATAGTACACATACTATGTCCTCAATTATCTACAAACACTCAGCGAGCACTGATCACTGAGTGTTTGTAACTTGCTCTCCTCTCTGACACGCTGTCACAGGAGGCTGAGTGAGCGGTGCAGGGAGGAGAGCTCAGTCTCCTCTGACAGCGCGGGTTGTCTCCGCCCACACAACGCTCTTCCAGTGTTCTATCACAGATTGTGACTGCGTTGGAATGTGTGACCGGTCACATGGTCACACATTCTAACGTAGTCGCACCCATTTTTTTCCAGGGTAAAATTGTGTGACTGGCAAAAGGTGTGGAATTCAAAGCTTTCGCCGCTGTTCCCAGGCTGATTGGCATTGCAGATGGTATGTTTAGTAGAACCGATCTGCCCGGGAACAACTGATCGGTCCTGAAATCTCACTTCAATCTGACTTTGCGAGTGCAATACAAAGTTGGATAGAAGTGAGATTTCAGGAGCGAACAGCTGTTCCGGGGCAGATCGGTTCTCCTGCACATACCATCTGCGATGCCGATCTGCCCAGGAACAGTGGAGAAAGCTTTGAATTCTACACGTTTTGCCGGTCACCCCCGGGAAAAAATGGGTGTGGTTACGTTAGAATGTGTGACCATGTGACTGGTCACACATTCTACAGCCGAAAAAATGGGCGTGATTACATTAGAAAGTGTGATGACGTCAGCGGTCACACATTCTAACGCAGTCACAATCTGCCATAGAACACCGGACTGTGATAGGAGGCTGAGCGGTGTGGGATGAGAGATGCCGGCTGCTCACAGCGCTCTCCTCCCACAGTGCTCGGCTGTCTGTGACACTTTCTCTCCTCCCCGCTGGGACACAGAGCAGTGCCCAGCGGGGAGGAAAGAAAGCAAGGATGCACCGCTGTATCGGCCAAAAAATGGCACTTAAGGCATTTAGCCAAAAGTGCCATTTTCAGCTAATATGTTTCGGCGGCCGATATATCGGTGCAACCCTAATATTAACAGCAATGCAGAATGGCAAAGGCTATAGAGGACTACACATCCCAGCAATACTTTATACAACTATAGCATTTCTGTATAAAGTACTGCTGAGATTTGTAGTCCTCTATAGGGGGGCCCATTCTACCAGCTGTACTTTACACAACATCAGGCTACAAATAATAATTGTTTTAATTAATTATTTACCCTTACCTCTTCTGGCTGGTCTTCTGCTGTTTCCTGGTGGGGGATTCAGGCTGCAGAAAAACCCAGTGTCTGTTTCCTGCTTGCTGGGTCCTCACAGCCGTCCGATGTGCCTGCACCCTGCAGGGCCGTCTTCAGTCTTCACATGTCCTCGGCTCGCGGCTCCCTCCTTGTAGGGGCCGGCGTGCCCTAAAATATCCGGGTATCTGGCAAGCGTAGCCCCCGCCCCCCTCCCCAGTTCAGCGCGTCGGAGTGTGGGGACATCAGTATCCTGTGGCCGGCGGGCCCCCCATCTCTGCGCCGGGAGTGTCAGATGAACGGATGATCCGACACTCCCGGCGCAGAGACGGGGTGCCTGCCGGCCGCTGGATACCATCTATGCACAGGCCAGGACTGTGCTGGGCCCCCCCAGGCTGAGACCCCGGTGCGCCCGCACCGGCGGTAGTTCCGCCACTGAACTAGTGCTGGCGTTTGCTTACGACTGCTCTAAGGGGTCTATTTACATTTAAATACACAACGTTCCTTTTCTATATACATTCCACCCCCTGAAAAGCTCACACTGTAAGGGATCTATTTATAATGAAATACACCAAACATTTTTTTAAAAGACGCAAAGAATGCAAACTTTTCTATATACCCCCGCCCCTCAAAAAAACCATTCTCAGGGCCGTTAGCCTGCAAATATCTGTGAATGTTCGATCTGTGCAAATGTATGCCAAAACAAACATTCTTTAGTTGTTTCTTTACAAGACAATGGGGGGAAACTCATAAAAACTAGAACAGACAAAATCTGGAGCAGGTGCCCATGGCAACCAATCAGCTTTTCTGTTTCAGTTTCAAAACTTAACCGAACAAGCTAAACAGAGAAGCTGATTGGTTGCCACGGGTAGCGGCTCCAAATTTTGTCTGCTCCAGTTTTTATAAATTCCCCTCCAATTTATTTTTTTAAAAGTTTGTTTACATGTAATATCACTTTATGACCACTGGATGGCGATGAGGAGCAGCGAGAATAAATACTTATTTCCTGTGCTCCTTTCTCTCCATCTAGTGGCCATAATGCAACAGTACATGACAAAACAAATTCCAAAAACATAACATTCATTTTGGCATATATACGCACAGAACACACGTGCACAGATATTCACAGGATGAACGCCCCTCAGAAATGTTTACAAATAGACCCCTTAGAGTGTGTGTTGTTGAGGGGTGGGGGTGTATAGGGAAGTTTAGTTTATTTAATTTGGTATTTTTGGAAATTGATTATTTGTGTACTTAACCAGTTGTGGACACTGAGCTTGATACCAAAGGAAATACCAAATTTTGGGTTGTCATCAGAACATGAATAGATGGGAAATCATCCAGTGTAGACACTAGATCGTTACATGGTATTTGAGGTTGAATAAAGACACAGTTCCATCAAGTTCAACTTTTGTGTGTCTGTGTGTGATTGTGCAAGCGTGCATGTGTGTTTATGAGTCCCTGTTTGGTCTAGTTGTTAAGAGTACCTGTACCCCTGTATGTTATGGTCTCTGAGGAAGGTATTTAAATGCTTTTTGAATTATTCAATACTCTCAACTAATACCATACCTTCACATGTGTGCAGATCTGACTTCCTCGATAGAAGGAATAAACTAATGATAGAAGACCAATCTGGATAAAATGTTATATGGTACTACTGACTATACTCTATCTATGTACTGTATCTCGGCTAAACATCTTTAAAAGGAATGAGAAATGACCCATGAGGTCCTCTTTTAGGTTACGTCTATAATTCAGGACGGATAAATAACTGCAAGCCGAGATATTGCTATCTGACAGAAAACCGAGATATGGCTATCTCCTGTTGAATTGGTTTTATAACACGAAGAGAGGTAGTCTTCAAACCCTATCTATCAGTCCTCTCTACAGATAAACGCCCATCATAGATTGGCTTCTAATCAATGAGGGGAACATATCAATGGGAGTTAAGCCTCCATTTACTTGAGGGGCAATTGTTTTCATGGTGATAAAGTATCAATGTTGGATGGTGAAGACAGGGTAATCCACTAGGTATGAATGTGGTTGTACATGCAAGACAACGTTGTTGATTTTAAGTGTGTATTGTTTTCCTTTGGAGTTGGTGCAATTATTCTATGCATAAAATAAAGCTATATATTTTTTCAATGTACGGTCTGAATTAACTCCTTTCGGTCCGTGCACAGAACGGTGCTTGCGACCATTTCTTGTTTTCTTACAGGTTATGCCTAGTTACAGACCCAATATACTTGGTGACAACTATTTCCCGCAAGAGATGCCATTTTTCTGCATGAGTTATTTGAAAAATCTTGTCTCCGGGGAGTCCCTTTGTTTTCTATTTGCTTAATACTTACCTGTGTCTTCCCCGCGCGCTCCCGTCCGAAAATGTGAAAATTCTCGGGCAGCCGCAAAGCATATTCGGGCAGGTGCATGCGCAGATCACATTTTCGGCCTGGAGACGAGGAGAGACACAAGGTAAGTCTATGGACGCGTGCCCCCGCATGCAGACACCATGGGACAGGAATTGCAGGCAAGCCCAGGGGAGTCAGCGCTGGATTGGAGACCCGCAGCAGCGCTGTAGGGACAGATGAAAAGAACAAGAAAGAAGATCGGATTAAGAGACATCATTAAAGGTAAGTGCTGACTTTAACATTGGAGGGAGGGAAAAACATTTTTGCCTTTAATGTCACTTCAAGTTCCTATTTTCTAGATAACACATTTTAAAGGGCTCTTTTATATGATATGTTTATTCGGATTAAACAATGTGTCATAACCAGGGACTATTGTTGGTTCTGTAACTAACCGGTACACACCAACTCATCCTGTTTTAAACCAATTCAAAGCCGATCCATGTTCACAATCAGGGACATTTTCAAAGAACATGTACAGAATGTGGAACCGTGTGCGATGTGACTTCAGCCTGGCAGCCACCAGATGGCGCTGTTGTGGAAAAAAATAGAAAGATTCCCTCATCAAGGATGGCCGCACGAGCGACGGCTGGTGGTCACGTGGACAGGATGTGTATCAGGGCCTAGACACGCCCCTCCCGGAATAGCTCTGGCAAGCACGTGTGTGATCGGTGGAAGGATGGAGGTGGCAGAGGAGGGCGCTGCAGGTATGTAGGCCGGCTGATCGGACTGTGTGTGGTTTGGGGGTTCATTGTAGGACGGCTAGGTCTGGTTCGGGCTCTCTGGTGCCGTGAGTCCTGGGCCAGGGTGTCTTAAAGCGGACCTGTCTTTCCCTATATGAAGCCTTGTGTAATATAAAACGTGTATAAAGTAATGGTTTTACCGTAATACATGGATGGCTGTGCCTGAAGAGACCCTGTCATCTTACAAAGCACAGACAAAATCAGGTATTGTGAATGTGTACTAGCATAGTTTCTATAGTTCACTGAGCAATGTGCCTCTAAACTTGCAGGAAAAATGGTCTTCTACCAATATTTGTCAATTCCCTGGCAAACCCCCTCTCTTCATGCTCCTCATATCGCTCTCCTTATGGTAGTTTCTGACTGTGCTGGCCCAGCTACTCCAGTCTTCTAAACTTTTATGTAGCTGCCAAGGGAGGAGTGAAGGACAATACCTTGAAGCTAGGTTCAGATCTGAGTGATCCAGGAATGCGTGTCCTGCTTTTAGGCGCGATCTGTCTGGCGCGACTTGGGTGCCATTCGAAAATAATGGCACCGCCAGCGCGATTGGCAGTGGTGGGTGATTTCGTGACCGCGCGGTTTTGTGTGCGATTGCCACACGGTCTCGGATCTCCAAGGTGTGAACTTAGTCTGAGTGTCACTTGAGTGACAGCTCTGAGTCGGCTGGGGCTGCTGTTATCACATCCAAGATGCCGGCACCCAGCAGTAGTCTCAGGGCTTTTAGGGCCCATTCACCCCATAACGTTGAGCTAAAGGCACTGTTTTTTGTGTGTTTAGTACATGCTATAGCAAAATGTAATGCCACACATGCTAGGTGTGTTGCCATTCATTCTAACTGGCACCCTAATGCCCCTCCTGACAGGCACCAAGGCACAGTATTGCAATAGCTTGTGTTGCAGTGCATTGAAACAAAGTAGTGCATGCACATCTTTTTCTTTTTTAATGCATGCTATTGTATTACTGCACAGCAAGTGCGTTGTGTTGCCATTCAGAATAAATAGCAATGCACCTAGCATGGGCTAAATGCACAGAAACCACACCTTTAGTCCAAGGGTGGGCAACTCTGGCCGTCCAGCTGTGGTGGAACTACAAGTCCCATGAGGTATTGCATGACTGACATTGACAGGCATGACTCCCAGAGGCATGACCAGTGCAATGCCTTACATGCTAGGTGCACTTGTGCATTGTCATTCATTCTAAATGGCACCTCGTGGCAGCCACCACAGCACGGTATTGCAGTGCGATAAAAACAAAAAGTAAGTTATTGTGTTGGCAATGCAATCCACCTAGAATATGCTAAATACCCAAAAACCATGCCTTTAGTCAGGGGTGGGCAACTCCAGCCCTCTAGCTGTTGTGCAACTACAAGTCCCATGTGGCATTGCAGGACTGACAGTTACTGGCATGACCAGAGGGCCAGGGTTGCTCACCCCTGTTTAGTCCCCTGGATGTGTACACAAGGTAAACAACATCCATGAAATACATTCACACTAGGGATGCACCGAAGCTGGTACCGAGTACTCGCCCAAATGCTCCCGATGCCTATACCGGCTTCCTGATTGGCCAGGAAGTCAGCTCCATGTTCTGCATTACCAGGGAGCATGGACCTGGCTTCCCGGGCTAATCGGAAAGTCGGGGGGTGGATAATGAGTCGCCTCCCAGCTTCCTGATTGGCTGGGAAGCCAGCTCCACCTAGTGACGAGGAAGCATGGAGACGGCTTCCCTGCCAATCAGGAAGCCAGGCAGGGTGTAATGACTCACTGCCCCGGATTGCTGATTGTTTGAGAAGCTGGCCAATCAGGAAGCCACACGGTAAGTCATTACCCACCTTTTTGCCTTCCTGATTGGCCAGAAAGCTGGCTCCATGCTTCCTCGTCACCTGGTGATGAGGGAGCATGGAGCCGGCTAATCTGGAAGTGAGTAATTACACGCCGCCTGGCTTCCTTAATGGGACTATCCGTATTTGATATTGGCGAGTACCGAAAGAAAATATCAGTGCTCGATATTGAAAAAACGATATTGGTACGTCTCTAATTCACACCATAGGCATTGGGCAGCGTTCCCCAGTGCAGCCTCAACCTATTGACCAGACAATTTGCATCGAGTCCTTAAAGTTCAGATCACACCACTGCTCTGAAAATAAATAAAATGGGACACGCTGTACTTTTTCTGTGCCGCATATTGCAAAGTAGAACACTGCACCCCAACACAGTGTGGTGCATAAACATGCATGGAATGTCATTTTGTGATGTTTCAATAAAGTTGTAAAGAGTGCAGTTCGTCATAACAGCACATTGGCACGGCTTCCTTCACAGCGCACACCAGAAGCTGCAATGTAACGTGGCCGATGGTGTAAATGAACCCTGAATGGTGTGTCCAGCAAAAAGGTTTTTCTTAGTTTTGCATAGAATGAGGAAAAGTAAGAACTCATGACAGGTTTATCCTTCTATCCCGGGCTGCATTAGAGGGACCGCCCCTCGCTTTCTGTCCTGCTTGAACATGCGTTGTGGCGCCATTCAAATGACTGCAAGGCACCTAGCACAAAGTATTGCACTCTAGATGTGATGGCGTGTGCCAAACGCACTTTATCGCAGTTTTAACACAACGCTTATGTGTGAACCAGTCCTGAGTACAATGACAGGATCACATTAAATGACAATGGCTGGAATACAGTAATAACAATGGTTCAGTTGGGCGTTAAATGCTACAAAGTACCAGAATTTAAATGCTGTAAGTACCTGAATTAGACATGTTGGTCTCTTGCAAGGACTGGTGGGGGGGGAAGGACAGGGACCTAGTCAGGTGTGTTTTTCATGCAAATGTGCTGATGAGGCTTGTGCTGATAGGAGAGAGCAGAGTGAGCAGAAAGGTGACCATCTGTTTGCTGTTTATTCAGTTCCCAAGCAGGCTGGCAATGGAGAAGGTAGACCTCTGTATTGCTTCTACAGCAGCGGTGGGCAACTCCGGCCACAGGCATGACTCGCAGAGGCATGCTGAGATTTATAGTTAAAGTACAGCTGGAGGGCAAGAGTTGCCCACCCCCATTCTACAGTCTAGAACTGTAAAGCTGGCCATACACCTATAGATTATCTGCAGAGTTTCTATGGTCGGAATCAAAGAGTGCAACAGATTCCTCCATCTATGCTAAACTGTGTGGATGAAGGAGTCTCCCGCTGTGTCTTGCTAGTTGGCCCGCTGGCTGTCAAAGCACCTGAACAGTGCCTGCATCCAATCAGATTGTTCAGGTATTTTGAGAGCCAGTCCCCCCCGCTGCAGAGCTGTGTAAATCTCACTACTGGATGGGCAGAAATACACATCCTATTGGAGAAAAAACATCCAGTTCCCTTATATGTATTTCATATGCGTATTTAGGTGTTAGCCTGGAGTTCAGTTTTTTATCTCGGCACAGATTCCTAGCTGCTGGTATTTGAGGGAAGCTCTTCCTATCCTGAGACCACCTAGTGTTTTTTTACATGTCGATGAAAGGGAACGGTGACAGGTCCTCGCTCATTTTCCACAAAGATCTGTTTCGTATTATCAACTTAAGACAGACCACATGCAACACTGGAAAACAATATCCCCAGAGTAAGCGAACGCTTCCTGCCATCTTCACAGCAAATATTTTCACTCTTATCTGTACCTCCGGTGTGGGAATACATATTGGCTCGGTCATATAAATCTAGATATTCTTAAAGGGATCCTCAGATGTTATTTATAGGCTAACTGCACCTTTAGTTCCTTCATTTGTTTTTGTTGAGCATGTGTCCTGGAAGGTTAATAAAAACAAAATGTGTTTGCTGCAGGTTCTGAAAGGAGCTCCGATTTTGCCGATGACAGTTTCTCATCTGACGGAGATGTTGACGAGCCCGATGTCCCCAAGAATGAGTCGGAGAAGGATGTTGAGCCTGATGGAGATCCGAACAAAGGCTGGGCTGATGCCATGGCCAAAATTCTTAACAAGAAGATGTCGGATAAGGCCGGCACTATCCTGGTGAAGAGCAAAGTCCTGGTGAAAGAGAAGGAACGGGAGAGGCTGGTGAAGTTGGAAAAGAGGAAAGAGGTGAGGACTAAACTTGGAGGCTGGACTGTGTGCTACAGAAGGACAGGCTGGCTCATTTGCCAATGCTTTGTTGTAAAGTATAGTTGTAGGTATCTTTTTATCTTTATATATTTTAATTATAGATGGAACCTAGTAGGTTTGATCCAACTTACTGTATGAGTTTACACATAGGTTTACTTTAACTCCTATACTATCATAGGAACTTGGCTTTAACGGCTGAACATACCAACCTTCAGTAAATCTGAATGTCAAAAAGGTCAGTAGATCCAGATCCACAAATATTTATATGCAAAATTTGACTTTCCATATAAAAATCGAGGTTGAAACCTTACCCTCCAGCCTCCTGAACTTATCTGTCTCCTCAAAATGGTTGGGGATCCTACCTAAGAGAGGTCATCGAAAAATCTGTCCCCATTAGAAGATATCACATCATCGTCCGTTGTGGAACCGTCCTCTCCTGCCTCCTAAGCTTGTGTCTCCTCAAATTGGTTGGAGATTCTACCTAAGGCTGGCCGTACAGCTATCAATGTTTTTAGTTCAACCTGCTGGATGAACGAAAAAATTGACTAGATTCCTCCAACACAAACAACGCGTCGAACGGGGAATAGCAACTGTTTGCATTGTATTCTGACAGGTGCCACCACCACCCGTCGGAATACCTGATCAAAGCGGGCAGCAGTTTGGCTGCTGGCTCTTATCGCATAAAGATTTTACAGCCGCCTCCATCGATCAGCTGATGGAGGGGAGCCGACAGCCCCACACGCTGTACGATTTTTGGCTGGTACATTAAAAACCAGCCGAAAGTCGGCCAGTGTATGGGCACCTTAAGACAATTGTCACCAGAAAAGGCGTCTCCATTAGAAGATATCATATCATCTGTGGCAGTAGCAACACACAATTTTGGCCTTTTTGAAAGAACCAGAATGGTCATTATGAGAAATAATGGGAACCGATCTCTATATTGTTCCTGGTTATAGATTGTGGCGAGAGACCCAAAGTTGGTCACAATTGTCCAAGAGGGGATTTTTGCCACGTTCGGGAGTGATTTCCCATTCCTGCTGATTTTCTGGGACTGGCAGTGAAGGGAAATCTCCTGAATGGGACACGCAGCTAGAATAAACTGTCAGGGATTCTTGCCTATCCTTAATCCATAGTAAGAAATGTGGCTATATTAACATTTTAAAGAACTCCAGGGATTTTTAAAACGTTCCCTTGCAGTGGGGCTACATCCGCCTTGCAAGGGTTAAGTGCTTTTTCTCCTCCTAGGGCATGAAATAAAGCCGGTATATTCACCTGGTTCTTGATCCCGCCAAGCTGCTAGATCGGTCCCCGCTGCTGCTTCTTCCTTGGGCTCCGGTGGTCTAAGGAACAATTACGTCATCAAGTCTAATGCAGTTCCATTGAATTGCATTAGAAGTGAGGAAGCCATGGGACATTCCACAGCTGGAGCGGAGAGTGCCAACTGCCACAGGACCCAGAATCGGATGAGTATATCTAATAATACCGCAATATTTTTGGAACAGGCTCATCTGTTATTGAACAGCTCAGAATGCCATTGTAAGGCATTTTTATTCAGTGGTAGTAATTATACTCGCATGGTATCCTAAGACCTTCATAGTTTGAAAAAAAAAGTATGTGTTCCTCCTCGCATTTTCTGTGTAGAAGTGTATTCTGGAGGAAAGATGACTCTATGATGTCTTATTGCCGTACAGAGATGCACACAGATCAGTACCATGTAGACAGCATGGAGGGACATCACATAACTAGCTGACTAGGAAATCTGGGAATGGAGAGCTCTAATCATCCACAAGAAATAGTCAGGACCGGACCCCTTTACATGATCCATGATGCAAGGACTAATGTATAATATACTCGTGGAAAGTAATGGATCTAGCTGTGTTGCCGTTAAAGATAAATGAGAATAGAAGTCTTCATTGTTAATATCTTCTCGTGTTGCTCTCTTGGTATGTTGTTGTTCCCTTGACGTCTCTTGTCCATTGCAGATTGATCAGAAGCGACAGTGGGAGATGCTGTGCCGAGTGAAACCAGATGTGATCAGAGACAGAGAGGTGGAGAGAAATCTGCAGAGAATCGCTACCAGGTACAAAACAAATACACAGCATTTCTCCTTTTTTTTTTGCAGTTTCCTTTCTTTTTGTCTGTTTTGTGGAATGTAACTTAGACCATCGCATGGCAACTGCAGTTCTCCTGGGCTAAACTGTACCCCCACCATCAACTGCCGATCTGTATTTGTTAGGTGCAGATAAAATGTGAGACAGCTAGTTGTGTATTCTACAATAAAGAATAACTCTGCAAAACTTTTATTAACCCTTGCAGTGTTGCTACCCCTCCCCCTGCAAGGGTTCACTGCTAGTTTTTGTCTAGGTGCTAAAAAAAAAAGGTAAAGGTTATACTCGCCCAATCTTTGTTGTTGGCTTGGTCTTTAGACTGGTGTCTGGAGCTTCTTTTCCCCTCTGCTGCAGCAGTCTAAGGTCCTGTAAATCATTACGTTATAGACACTGCCTGGTCTCTAAATTTCCTCTTGAGCAATTGAGCTCTCTAAACTTTTTAGCACAGCACATAAGGATAGATATGTCTTTAGCAGTTCCGTCGTAAAAAAAAAGCAGTGGCCTTTTCTGACCTTTTTTGACCTTTATGCTTTTTCCCCACAGGGGTGTCGTACAATTATTTAATGCCGTCAGAACTCATCAGAGTAAAGTAAACGTCAAGCTGCAAGAAGCCGGAAACTCTGATAGAAAGAGAAGTAAACTGATGTCATCGGTGTCGAAGAAAGATTTCATTGATGTTCTCCGAGGGAAAGAGAGTAAAAGTGAACAGCAAGGGAAAAGAGAATCTAAGAAGGTAGGTCAGAGGCAGGCGTAGTGTGTCTTGTCATTCTCATACTTGAAGCTGAACTCCAAGCAAGACAGAAAATGCACGCTAGGGGGTGTATCCGAACTCCTCTCCGGTCTCTGAATGCAGGAAGTGATGTATATTACATCACTTCCGCATTCAGCTGTCATTTCCGGCTACAGAAGCTGTTGAAGCAGATCTCTGGTTCAGCTTCTCTGGGGGTCCCTATGTGACATTAGTGGTCTTAAAGACACCTGATGTCTCCAAGAGCGCCTGTGATAGCTATGTGATAACAATAAAGTTAAAAGTAAGAAAAAAAATTAAAATCGCATAAAAAAAAAAATACACATTTTTAATGTCCCCGCCCCTCCATACACACACACACACACGTGTTTGGTGCGCCTACGTGCGAAAATGACGATTGCACCAATTACGCTGCAAATGTTAGATATCACCGCAAATGTCAGAGTGAGAGCAATCATTTTAGGGCCATCACTCACTGATAACACTAAATCGATGAGCAGTAAAAGTTGTTAAAGCGTTGCCTATGGCCAATTTTGGATATGGTATTTTTTTGGGCAATCCGTTTTTTTTTTCAATTTTTTTAAAGACTTTACTTGACGTGACCCCGTCTTTTATGTTTTACCAAAAAATTGGGGTGATGTGTCATTACATAATGTCGGGAAAACAGTTTCTTTTTCAAATTTTTTGGTAATTTTTTTGTTATATAGTAAAAAAATAAAAACCCAAGTGGTGATTAAATACCAACAAAAGAAAGCTTTATCTGTCCTCAAAAAATGGTTATAAAATTAATTTCAGTACAGTGTTGTATGACGCCATAAATGTCAAAGTGCTGAATACTGAAAAATGGCCTTGACAGGAAGGGGGTGTAAACACCTGGTCATCAAGTGGTTAAAGTGAACGTATAATCTTGTAAAGAATACCTTTTTCTGATGGAGGGGAATGAGGAATAGAACTTCTGTCAGGTGACGCAACAAAACATAAGGGAAAAAGAAGTTTTGGCCCTTTCTTACTCCATCTAGAACAATCTGTACCAAGAGCAAAAAGGAAGCCGCCATTGGTGACTTGGAATAAGCATGCATGTTGGGAGTTAGCACCTTCCCTTTCCTGTTGTTCCAGGTCAGTGAGCCAAAATGAGGGTGGAAACAGCCAGGTGACTTTTATGGCAGCACATTGTAAAGGCATCTAAAAAAGTAAATGCACTAAAAGCGGAACTTTACTACCAGCTGGGTGGTGGCCATTGCCATGATGTGCAGGTGTACACAGACTTGCACATTTTGGCAGCCTGGCCTACTAGTCTACTCTCCTCCAGAGCTGGCAGATCCTCTCTAGTCAACTCTCCTCCAGAACTGGCAGATCCTCTCTAGTCTACTCTCCTCCAGAACTGGCAGATCCTCTCTAGTCAACTCTCCTCCAGAACTGGCAGGTCCTCTCTAGTCAACTCTCCTCCAGAACTGGCAGATCCTCTCTAGTCAACTCTCCTCCAGAACTGGCAGGTCCTCTCTAGTCAACTCTCTTAAACTAAACTCTGAAAACTAAGATTGTTAAAGGGTAATTCCACTTTCCCAGGTGAATTTGGAGAAATTGAATTTCCCCCTCCAATCCAATTTTTTTTATCAATGTAGGTTACAGCTTAGGCACAAATAACATTTCTAAATGTCCCTTTTATAAATGCCAAATTTTCACTTTTTGCGTTCAAGTCCACTTTACTTTCTATTTTAAGGCACATTAGATAAATGGCAACAGGTAGGAGCATTGAAGGCTACTGCTTTGCAGCTGATGGGCTACTCAGTAGTTAAGGAGGGTGACTACTTTTGTTCCTGATGGTCCCTGTGTGTGTTGTAAAGTAGCCACCGCTCCAAGCTCACTCCTGTGATGGAAGATTGTAGTCCATCACAAGAGCACGCTTGGAGTGGTGGCTACTTTACAACACCACTCCAAGCGTGCTTGGAGGAACAAACGTAGCCCCCCTCCAAAAGGAAGAACAGTGTCAGCATCAATTCAGAGATGATTTCAGGATCTACAGCCGAGTGATACACAAATAAGATGTATTTTGGTTATTAGTTAAGATACTTGAATGCATTTTTAAGGTTTAACTCCTGAATTCATTGTCACTTTATTTTGATGTAACCCTGCAAATCAGTGTAGTTAAATGAAGACTAAATCTCAAGAGGAAGCTTTTTAATATTTTTGAGGATGTTTGTGCTTTACTAGCTACGCGCCTGCAGATGTCACTGTTGGCTTTTAAATTCTACTCATCTGTTAAAACGTATGTAAACCCTAACCACTTATTTGATCCTTTATGGTCTGTTATCTTCCATGGGGTGTTGGGGGTGACCTCATCCTGCCAATGGTATCCCAGGGAATGCTAAATACTGCAATAGCCTGCTATATACTGAGCTTTGGGTCATGGGAATAGGTTAGTATATGTCTTCCTGTGACCCCAAAACAGAACTATGGGATAAAAAGGTTACCCCATAATTCTCTTTTAAAATGTAAAGGCAAGATAAAAGTTTACTTTAAAGTGGACCATGCCACAGAACAAGTCATAGTGATGACTTTCCCGTAATGGGGAAAATATCAGCTGCAGGGAGACCATAGGCAATACTGGTGACTAGTCTTTTCCCCTCTGCTTGTCTTTTTTTGGGTACAGCTTCCAGAGTTCAGGTCAACTTTAAGAGGAAACGTTAATGGTTTTGGGTTAAAGTTTTTCACTTGTTTAATGTTGTAAAAAAAATATCAAACACATCACAAATGACTTCCAGAGCACTATGGGTTAGCTGCAGATAGCACAGCAGTAACTGCCTGAATTAAGGCACTTCTATGTCTGATTGAAACTTCAGACAAGGACCCCCCCAGATGTATCCCTACTTGGCCCCCCATATTGTCTGCATCTCAACCGGTAAAATTCTAGTACCTGGGCTGGCAGCTCCAGCACACTAATATCCCATAGGCTTGAATAGGAGTACCCCCATAGTACAGGAGCAACATCACAAGTCTTTGGGACATTACACCAGCAGCACAGCAGTAGATTTTTACTGGTCAAACTGGAGCTATGGAGGAAGTAATTATGGCCCTGGGGGACAACTGGTTGGCTTAATCTAATTGAAGGGGGGTAGGGAATATAGTAAAATAATGAACATGCCCTTTAACGCCATAAAGATAATGGTGTAAAGGGCATTAAGGATAATATTGATGCCAATGCTTGCAAAAGCTATGTGGGGGGGTTATTGCATTTCTGAACCTGTTACTTTTCCTGCATAGTAAAAGCACTGATTCACTTTAGGGTAAGCACTGTGATCTGTACCCAAAATTTGCATTCACATGCTAACTCAATTTTATAAACCCCACTATAATCCAGTACTTGTTTCAGCACAGCCATGACTGTTTCCCTTTTTAAAGTGGTTTGTATATCTGGGGCATAAAACCAAGATTGTGAGATTAATTTGTGCCCGGAGTCCTGATTAAAGTGATACTCTCAGGTAGATGGCCTTTCCAGCTGTAAACAACACACAGGCTGCTGCCGGCGCTCTGGGCTGTGTGCACTGAACAGAATGTGCTGTGAATGTCCTCGTAAAAAGTGCTGCTCCTGCTAATCTCTGCCCAAGCTTTCCCCTGGAAGACGTTTGTGTGGTTTCTCTTCAGTAATAGAAGAGATTTAAACAAAATAAATGTTCTCCTGATGGGCGGCAGTTATGGCGTGTCCAGAGCCCCGCGGTATCTGAGTGCCGCTGCTTGTAGTTTGATGTGAGTGCACGGAGGCGGAAAGCACTTGGCCCGTTTTCTACCTTTGCCATTTTTTCTTTCTTTTGGTTTCCCTCCTCCTTCAGCTTAAGTGCTTTTGCTGTGCCAGCACATTGCGTTTGATCCAATTACCACATAAGCATCATGTCATATGGTTTTTGTTTGTGTGTTTTCTGGCCACGTTGAAACATACTTTATTGGTGAACGTCTTATACCTTTCGCTGAAGAAGAACTCTGGTCATACTCCAGGGACCTTTGCAATGATTGAATACAATGGGGGTGATTTACTAAACTAAACACACACACACACACAGCAAAACTTATTTATCAACCAAAAAGTTAAAATGCACATTCAGAACCATTGGTGTATAGTGCATACATAGTCTAATATGATAGCCATTTATTCCAAACTGCATACAGTTGTTTCAGGTTTTTTGGCCATCATTAGTACAGTGAATGGAAACCTGATGAGAGCACTGCCTCACTGATTGAAATGAGGGCTTTTTGATTCCTTTAGTCCAGGATGGAATTATCTTTGGCCCGCATGATAATATAATTATCATTAGATCTGGCCTGCCGGTATATTGCCCACACTCAGGGCCGTAGGAAGGCAGAGGCTGGGTGTATTCCGCCAGTTGGGGGTGCGATCTTCATGGGACTGAGGAGCCGGAGAGCTGCCGCCAGCCAGAGGACTGCATTACCCAGCAGGCAGCCCGGCTGCGGCACAGCGAGACAGGGTAGGTGTGGCCGTGAGGTGACTGAGGGGGGGTCCCGAGTTCCAGTCCAGACGACGTGAGGTCTCCCTGGCGGGAATCGGGATCTAACATCCCGATTCCCGCCAGGTTATAACTAGACCATTAATCCTCATTTTTAAGGACTCCTTAATGACTGGTAGGATTCCCAGTGATTGGTGGAGGGCTATGGTGGTCCCCATATTCAAAAAGGGGGCTAGGTGCCAACCTGGGAACTATAGGAACCCCCAACTGGCGGAACCTGGGAAAACGGGATAGTTAATGACCATCAGCAAGGGTTCAGGAAAGATCGTTCCTAACTAACTTAACTTTTTATGAGGGGGTGAGTAGAGATATGGACGGAGGTAAGCCGGTAGATGTGGTATATCTGGACTTTGCAAAGGCATTTGATACGGTACCACACAAGCGCTTACTTCACAAGCTGAGGGCTATGGGCATAGATGAGGTGGTGTGTACGTGGATAGAGAACTGGCTACGGGAACGGTTCCAGAG